TCCACTGGACCAAAATGCTTCGGGACCAACAAAATTGTTTGCTGTATATCTATTGAGGTTGGAAGTCCCGAACCAACAATTTCATTGCCGAACCGCCAAACGCACATATATTGAAACTATTTTAACGTACATTTGAAGGCTTCCTAGTTTAAAAATAGCCTCTGGAAGCTTCGTCGCCTTTTCACGAAATACTTTATCTGAATGTGTGTCCGATCTATGTGCAGTGCTGTTACTTCTATACGTTGTGTTCGTCTTTTTTGGAAATTTACATAACCTATTAATGATTTGCTAATGCCGTAATATGATTTTTTGTTTCAACGAATCTTTCTTAGTATTACGTCCCAGTTCACAGCACTCAAAAACTGCAGCTGACAAACTGGAAGCTTACTTCCAATTACCCATACGTGGGTACGGATTTAGCAGAATAATGTACATAATTCTCGATGTATCCATATGGCTCCTGTTGATCTCCTCATCACGGGAACAACTCTTAATAACTGACGATTATCTCATGCGCAAGCAAACCGGCCAAAATATCGATTTCTCTTTCTAGCGGCGTAAGACTGCAACGTTTGATTCCTCTTGCTTTTTCCTTATGCAGGGTTTTCGTTCACAAAACATTAAAATTCACACTCGTACTCAGCAGGCACAGGACTGTTCCTGGTTAAGGCTGTTTTCAATTCTAGTCGCAGTATATGCATCAAAATAGGCCTCGTCCAGGCATCGGCTAGCCTTTGCGGCTTTGTTTGATCGAGCCCGCACTGCTGCCTACTCCTCATCTATTAAGCCAAAGAATCGCCGGTGGTACAGGCCTGTTTCAACTGCCCCGTCTCCTTCTAGCCTTTTCTAAGGAGACTCTCTTCAAGAAGACGGGAAATTTTTGACTTGCTTACAGTAGATTCTCTCCGTTCTCGCCAACCCACCAATTTTTTTCTGCCCGTTTGCTGGGACCGCTATAATCCTGAACCATGCCTGTGAGCGTGTCCGTCTGAGTGAGTAGTATATTTTTAAAAACAATATGAAAGTGAGCAGAGGAGAAAAAGTGGAGAAATTAGGAGGAAAACCCGCAATAGAAGGAGCTGCTATTTGTTCCTCTATTATGTTGGGTGTCGTAGACTGCGCGAAGCAGTACATCGCTGTCGGCTTGTCCGTCTCCGCCGTTTTGACTTCAATCGGCCTGTGTGGCCTGCCACTTTGCTACGCGCGCGTCAAAAGCTAGCTAGCAAAACTCATAACCTTGAGGCATTTTAGCCGGATATTGCTGACTCGGGCCAGTAGCAAAATGCATTATAGACAGAGGATTCCTCATATATGGACAACTGCTCATAGAAGAAGCAAGTCGCTGTCAGAGGTTGTGGTGGCGACTTCCGCCGGCAAAAGTGTGCTCTACTACCAGGTTTTACTTATTCCCTTACGTCTGTTGCGTTATTGTGTTCAAAGTTTAGATTTGCTGCTGCCGTGATAGCTCAAGGACCCAACAAAAACTTATTGGCCCTGTTGTGCTTGCGATGGCCGTAACAGAAAACAGAAGGTGAAAAGGACCCGGCAAGCGTGGGGCTAAAAATATATTGGCATTTTGTTTAGAGATTGAAGGCCAATAGATTTCACGAAAAGACAAAGGTTAAAAATAAAAAGAGATCATTTAAAAAACGTCGTGTTTATTCCCAGCCTGTCGGCAAGCTCTGAAGCATCAGAGCCGTCAAACAGACTTAACCAACAAAGAGAATTTTTGTATGTCGGTCTCGTGTGGTGTTCACAGCAGAGTTGGTAAGCAAGTTGTCAGCGAATAGAAGAAAACGGACGATTCCACCTTGTTTGCCCACTGTCTGTCTATCATCAATTGATTCCTTTCCTGGGCTGCAATTTTTTTGATTTCCATTGTTGCCGTTATTTTGCTACTTCAATGTGGACACGGTATACCACAAAGAGATGATTTTGAAAATATATAGGATGAGAAGCAAATAGGGCGAGAATTATACTGCCGTTCTCGCGTTTTTCATTCTATAGTCAAATTGTCATAGAGGAGCAAACGCTCTAGCTTCATCAACAACGCGACAAATCGACGATTAGGCAATCATTACCGATCATATAAGAAAAGCCGTGCAGAAAATAGATAGATGGCATTTACGGTAGACGGCTTAGTTTAATTAATGCACTAGAGTATTTTTTATTTCGGGTGGGCTCTGACGCTTCCGTTTTTTCGGTTTTCCCAACAAGCTCAAAATGGCTTTGCTTCTTGGCCATTTTTCAACGCCACTAACAAAGGCAAAAACAAAGTGAACACGTTTCCTTCGATAACACTATCTTTTCCGTCGTATCTCGCGGCGCAACAGAATCTTTAAAGATCTCTTTTTTACCAATCTTGCTAGCCCGGTCGGCCTTATCCGCGTTCTTCGATCTGGTCTTTTGGTAGACAAACGTTTTTCCATTGATGTTGTTGTTGCCACAACGATAGCACCTGCTTTCTATCGAAGCGGTAGAATAGTCTTTGTTATTCGTTGAATCGTTGCATCCCTGGCCAGCCCAAGACGAGTCTTCGGCCTCGCATTCACTTTGAAGCGAGGTTTTGCTTCTAAAGCAATGCAAGCAACATAGCTTGGACTAGGTCAGATGCCCTAAGAACCAACGCGCTAGCTTTGTAGATGCGCTGGCTTTCGCAGGGATAAAAAGGCTATCGAAAATCGATTATACCGTGCGCAGTGCTTTAATAATGCCAGATACAGCCCTACTGAAAGGAATGGGGCTAAGCGGAACTGGCAGCGGGATAGCGACCGTGGCTGAACGGCATGCCATCTTAGTTGTTACCATCACCTTAACAGACGCGCTTTTCGACGGTTATGGTTCCGTTTTTGGCACGCTAAGACTTTTGCAGCGACTTCCCGTGCGGTGGCTTATTCGTTTTCTGCTTTTTTATAGGGTTAGCGCATCGCGCGTCAATCCTATACCGATGTTCATGACATGTACATATTATATATAAAGAACATTTTCCTATACTGGATCGAAACACTGCAGTATAGTCTCAGCCTCTAGCACCATACTGCACGATGTATCCTAGTGTACAGTTTTGTGTTTCTTGGCTTGCATTATAATTCGATATACTGCATGTGTACGTTCAATAATCGTACTATTGATTTTGACACGGTCTCGAAATCAAGGACGGGTGCTTTGCAGGTATCACATTTGGCAATCTCGTGCGTATCATCCCTACCTTCTTTTACATGATACGAGACGACCTGATATGAAGGTCTACAACTTTTTCGACGCATTCTGACGTTCATAAGCCTGTCGTCGCTGCCAATGATATTAAATAAAAAATACCCACAGTGCCGAGTGGATTGTGGGACAGGTCAAAAATCACGATGAAATAGCAACATTCTTCCCGTCTAAGATATAGAGCGCCTTTTCGCCTCTCGAGTCCTTTTCCTATTCCCATCTCCAACGAAAATTAAGCTGTACCTACTTTACCACCATGGAGTCAGCCTACGACACGAGTGAGTCGCTAGGGTCGCTGCACACCAACATCCGCTCGGCGTACTATGACATCCTGTGTTCATTTCCCCATCAGTGTCCTACGCGTAGTTCGGGGGCTAGAGCTGCATACTATTTATTCAATGAACACCATTGTATCCTCACAAATAGGCGTTGGAGCGGTGTTCCTCATATAGTGCTCATCGACCCCGCTTCCATTACTTACTTCAGAATTATATTCTACTATTTGGCCAAAAGTGAGGGATGAAGGAAACCGTGAGGGTGTTGGTTCTGTGTCCTCAGTTCGTCGACGCGAGCCTACCCAGTCTTCGGTGTTAACTACAATCAGCTTCTTAGGAATCCTTGCCTGGTCGTGGGTGGCACTGTCGCCAATGAAATGTCGGTGTAACTGAAGACGTGGCCCCCGATGATGACAGGACAAAGAGCGATGCAGCTTTCACCGTGCTCCTTCGAGTGAGAAAAACTTGCTGGGGTTATAGTCAACATCATTTGGGTAACTTTGCAACGTCGTCAGGTGGACACCGCGGCTCGACAAGATGAACATCGATCGGTAGTATGCAATGACTCATTATGCAATATATGCAATGACAAAATCGTCCGGAAAAGGTGGATCGCTAGAGGGGACCATCGAGGGGAAATATAGAATAACTTGCTTTTGCTACTAGCACAATATCGTGCGACTATTGAGAAAACCGACGGCCACTGGTAAGTACTTTTGCATTAACCCTCCTGGGCAGAAAGCAATAGCACGTTCGTTGTACTTCGTTGAAGTGCACTAACGCGGTGGCATACAGCGGTTGAACTGCCTGGGCCTCTAGTGCGTCTGAGTCTCGTAGGCATCTTCTCCTACAAACGGACATGGTATTATTATCTACGGCTATATGTGGCCTATATTTTTCCGAATGAGATCAGGGATACCAAGTCCGCTCTTGAATGTCAGACACGCTGTCTATAATTGTAGCGAGCTTGGTAATCCCTGGCGAGGAACTGTAACTATAGAGCTACTGTTGGTGAAATATTTATGATGGCCATTTGAAGGGGTAGTGTTGATTGGCAACAGTTTGTGCCGGAGAAGCGCAACAAGAGAAAACGAGGGGCTGTATCAAGGGAGAAAGAGGACTCGACGAACCAACCATAACGCCTGCAAGACATCGGAGCTGATAGAACGCAATAACTCCTTCTATAGAAGCATAATGAAAATAAAATACTTCAAACTAATTCTATTGAACACCCGTAAGTAACGAAACGTTTCAGTGAAAAACGCTCAATTCGCAATAGTTTTAGTTCGTAGATGTATGTATATATAAATCTGGCCTTTACAGTATTCTATATATGTTAGATATAACATTAGACATGTGTAGCTATCACTAGTGAATCCACGTAGAACATCCTTGTGCATCTGGAAAAAAATCATTCATCTATGTAAACGGGAGATATCGATTAAGCAACGGTATAAACACGTTATCAATTACACTATACATCAAAATTACGAGACATGACCACCTACGTACCATTACTTAATATTTTGCTCTCTTCCAAACAGATGTTTCCAGGTGCAATCCTAGCAGGTGACCCTATGTCGAGTTATGGGCGGCCTGCAGCTCTACGAGGACCGAAAAATCCCCAGGCGAATTCGTTTCAGGTAAACTGACGCCATTTCCCAATTCGTTGTCGAATGTAATTCCAATCAGCCATGATATGTCTATCTCAGAAAAGGTCTGTATTTCATCTTTAATTTCGCAAAGCTTAAAGAGACTCAATATTTTTTCTTCTCTCTCCACTATTCCTTATCCTTTCTAAAACAACATAACTGAAGACTCGCCATTATTGGAAGAGAAGGCCAAAGGCAAGCTGGCGCTGACCAGAGGCCTGCAGTGACCCAGACCACAGGTCATTCCACAATCTATCATGCTTTTCTATAATACGTTATGCAGCATACCTTGTCGAATTGCGCACTTCTAAATCCACTCCATCTTAGCACCTACCTTGCCCACGTATGTCTTGCCCTCGAGTCGTGACCCAGCCATCTGACAAGGCTTAGTGCTAGAGAATAATAATACAGCTATCCGAGCATTACCTCCTTTTGTCCTCGTAATGGCAATAGATTTATGTTTTCGTCGATCAGTGTGGCCTGATATGTTTGCCATCAGCCTCGCTTTGGTTTCTTCAACTTCGAAGTTCCGATTGCGTTTACGTTTGCCAACTAACCTTGGTCTCTATTGCTCTTGTTTGTCCGCAGTCGTCTAAACGAGCGACAACGTGATGATGAAGGGTAAAATGAGTTTTACTCGTTGAAATGAGTGCGTCGTACATCATGTATTAGCTATGCTCTGTACGAGACTATACCGATATCGATATAAATAACATATATACAGTATACGATGAACGCTTCGTTAAGGATATGCGAGACAATAACTCGATTGCTAGGGTTTTATATCTCTAACTACCCTGTATCTGAAAATGGGAGGTTGCAAAAAGCAGAAACTATACTTTTGTGATACAATATTAGCTGCAGAAAACTTTTAGGATGGCCTTTTGACGAGAACAATTTACATGTGAGTAAAAAATGGCTATAACACGTCTAGCACGAGGTTACACCACATGAACGTTTCTACTACATAAAGCCTACTTTCGTGAGCGATTGAACGGCTCTTAGATGAGTATATTCTTTAAAGTTGTTCATTGAAGGTTGGATAACAACGTGAGATCGGGTTTATCGTACACATAGTAAAACTAGATTTCGAAGAAACCTTCTTGCAAAAAAATGCCAGGCTCAGTCTTTCTATCCAATATCACGATAGATCGGTCCTGCTTATCATTACAGTTTCTCAACCTCATCCGCGTCCTAATCCATACCTTGATTTCAACGGGAACATTTGAACCGAGTCAGTCTATACCAAGGTGTCTAATGCAAAAGTTCCACCACGTTTAATTGCACCGCAACACAGATATTCACTTATATATATATATATATATATATGTGTGTGTGTGTAGAAAGAGCATACTTTCGGGAGGTACACCTCTCTATATATGGTAACTAATCGCTGCCAAACAAGACAACCACCAGCATTCACAATTCGCGAATGCGACTATTTTCGGTCCCATTCAGTAACCAGCCATATACTCTAGATCCGAGTCGTGAACACAGCCTGCGTGCTTCTGACATGGCTGACGAAGGAATATAGTACAATGGAACAGACATCCCGCACCACCAGAAGCTCTTCTTTCCCTAAACATGTAGGCTCTCTTGGACTTGGGATATAACGTAGAACAAGGGAAGTTAGCTACGCATGCACCCTTAGCCTTTCTCCGCGTCTCGGTTCCCTGCTGTACGACTTCCTTTTTGGGTCCTCTTTCCTAAGTCTCTTTGGTTTGGGTCTTATATGTCCTGAGAAGTCTCCCGAGGAGAGCTAAACCAAGTGGGGAAGACTAGCACACTGCTATCATTTCTTTTTCGTGGGTTCAACTTTGGGTCGAGTGAACGCAAGTCGGGTATAATGAAGGCTGCCTTGGATCTCCCACACGTCACTACGTCAGGTGTGTACATCGGTATGCTATTCCCTTTTTCTAGTGTCTTTTACTCAATAGTCACCGAATGGGTATGCACTAAATAGCAATGAAATAACTAACGTAGTAGAGGACGCAACTGGCTCGAGTTCGATGAGACTTTAGCTCTATCTATCGTGGTCTAGCAATAATAGCGACAATAACTAAATACAGTTGAAGAACGCATTGGTCAGCAACTCGCTAAGATCTGCGTCCATGCATTTTGTTTATGAATATTCTATTCTGTTTCTACGATATTAAGTATTGCGAACCTTAGACACATGGGCTCCTTCTCTTGAGCAGATGACACCGTATCAAATGAAAATCGTAGTACCATGATAGGATTGATTTCTGTTTGTCATGTTTATTTCTTCTGTTGCTGTACTTTTTATTTAGACAAAACCAATCCTTTCGTTGCTTTTACTTCTTGTTTAAGGTTTTGCCGAGAGGTTGCGTATGCAAGGAATAAGCTTTTAATGTTTTTGTTCAAGTTTCTAATGCGCAACGGAAGTCGATGGCTACGCTACAGCTTCGACCATGCTAACCTAACGAGGCCCCGATTTTCTCTCCACAAGATCCCCAATGCAATGGACGGTGGTGCGATTATTTCCGTTGTGGGTTCGCGCTACGTGGCAAGTGGCCATGTGCGTTCTTTCATTCGTTCGTTGTACTAGAGTTTCGCCTTTTGGTCTTTGTTCCTGTTTTTTTTTCTATCTAAGCCTTGCCCGTCGGGCACATGCTAACGGTCGCCGTCACTATCCGCTACTACTCACTACTCAAATTGTCGCGCAGCCACTCTAGCCAACCTCTTATCAACTGGCAGCTAACGTTTTTCTTCTTCTCAACGGTTCTTCCGCCTATCTTCGCCTTCATCTTCGCTTGGCCTGCCTTACGTTGGGACCGAGGCGGGACAGGCGGGAAATCGAGAGAACTTCGGCGTTTTCACCAAGATGCTTACAAACGAACGCTTTTTTTAGAACTAGCAGCGCCTGTCCAGTTACCACCACCAATAGCTGCTGTTTCCTTCGGCTAGTTCTTGCTCATTTTTGTTGCCCGAGTAACGGCAAAGGAACCTCAAGCTTTGTTCTCCCACGTTCTGCTTCGCCATTGCTCTTTCAGTTTCTATCCATTTTCGTCCCATAGCCACCTACGTACTTCTGCGCTAGTGTCAGTCTCTCAAAAAGCGACAACGAATTCTACGACTTCCTTGTCCTGGTCGGCGCCAGGAACTTCGTCGGCTTCGTCAGTAGCGCCATCGTTGTGGAAGGCGCGTCACTATCTTTTTGAAGCTCTTATTCTCAGCTACTACCAGGCACAAGGCAGCAAAAGAAGGCTGGCCATGGTTCAGCGATCCGCACTAACTTTCGTCATTGGGGAGCAGTCCAGCTTGCAGCATCACCGTTCGGCCAGAGACCAAGCGACAGTGCCTGCTGCTGTGCTAGAAGAACAACGAGCGCAAGCCTACGAAGGACTGCACTGGGAGACTCGACACCCTTACTGCCTCAAAAGCAATAGTAACACCAAGAAGTTTGAGAGAGGTGCAGTGCCAATGTCAGAGGCGGAAGCCGACAACTGCTGTGGCGACAAGGCTGCCCCAGTAGCAGCGCGAGCAGTACAGTAATTTATTTCGCAGCGCCGATAATACCTCTCGAATCGCTGCCTGTCTGGATGCCGGTCCTCCGCTTGCCTCGCCAAGCTGGCACTAATAGATATCAAACGGTGAGTGGAATGGAGGGTCTGCGACCCTCTGGTTTGTTGGCCGAAATGGATTTAAGAGTTGACGGAACGCAAGGTCAAAAATCCCAACGTTTTATTAATGAACACTTGCAGATAGAATACAGCCACCCGCAGGTCACAGGCCGTGTCGGAAAGATCCGCGCCTGGCGAGGTCTGATGAGACTTAGAGGGCTAGAAGAAAAACTAGGAGCAAACTTTAAACTGAGAGATAAATTGAAGTGCACAAACGCCTGAGAAATGCAGCAAATCAGTGACTCTATCAGGCTAGCCGTGGCTTATCATTTATATATCTAGCACCATGAGAAGACTTAGTGTATTGCAAAGAGACCAAAAATATAAGCGCACAATTCGTAGGGCTGTTGTATTTTTGACTTTGGCGATGACAATATATGGCGTCGAATCTATCATCTAGAGGCATTTTTTTCGTCGATTTTTTCTGCCTTATGGAGGCTTTGGAAATCTTGTCTCTATAAATGGTAACCTTCTCCCGATTAGAGCATTTTGACAGAACAGCTAGCTCGTTTGCTGTTCATCATCTATTGCGAAATCATTGCTTCCTAGAATTCATTAATTTAGATAGCCTAACAGTTAGAGTAAAAGTTATATTCCGTGAAGGTCATCTTTCTTTATAAAAGTCATTTTCCACTCTAGATCCACTTAATTCTATTATTATAGAAATGTTATCGATTGCTGAATGTTAAATTCGTCAAACCTATCTTCGCATATCTGATTACACGCATTTTGACCAAATCGAACTTTAAAACTTTTGTCGTTGTACTCAGTACTTCGCTGTTGATAAATGACGCTCTTTTTTATAAAAATCTCTCTCAACATAAGACGGTGGTCGCGCGCGCGTCGTGCTAAATAATTCCGGCTTCAACAGTGGCGGTGATTCAAGGGGCTTCACGCTGCTCTGCTTATTAGCATGACAATTAAAACCACGGCGTCAGCTGGCTGGGCTTTCTACCGTTATACACATCGCTGTCATTCTGGCTTTTCCTATTTCGAAGTTCCTTCTTCTTTTCCCTTTTCCGCATCCATCCCAAGTCAGCCAACTTTCCCAGCTCATCACACACATAGAATCGGCTGTTGTGCTCTGTGGGGGAACCTCCCTCTGTTTTATTTCGAAGGTTGAAATCGGAGGTGGAAGCCTATTAGGCTACATCTGTATGCACCCCAAGTCCCGATTCAATATGTCCCCTTGACAGTGATGAACCAGCTTATATATGAGTCATGAGTTGCGAGTAGGTTCGTTTTGTGTTCTGTTGACTCCAGTCGGCTGGTACACTAATACCATAGCACGCTCGCCAAGTAGTCGACGAGGTGGGCTCTAAAGACTCGTAGAGGGAGGGTAGCTACAACAGCATGACGCAGAGATGATGGATGCACGCCAAGAATGCCCAGCCGCCTGCTCGCAGCTAACTCGTCAGCCTCTCAGGCACCACCATTTTCTTGGGGGTGGTCGGACGAACGAACAAGCAAACTGCGTTTCATGGAAAGAAAACGAGAGGACCAGGGAGAGGGAAAGAGAGAGAAAGAGAACCGAGCTGCTAAGGGGGTTTAGGGGATTGGTCTTGGCGGTGTCGGTGGTGTGTCAGGCGAACCAGTGTTTACATTTTTACAAGAACTCTACGCTAGGCACATTGAGGTCTGGCACAGCCGAAAGGACGGATAGCGCAGGCAGGCCAGGGCATGACGAACAAGTCCTATGCGCTATTCCTTGTTTGCCTCTTCTGAAGTCCCCGGCTATCTCGACGGTTGCTTCAATTCGGTCGTTGCTGCGGCTACTACTGTCGATGCCGTCGTCTACCGCGGGTAGTTTGGACACGGTCGGTTTAGAGGAGCCAGTGAGAAGCGGAGGTGAACAGGGGGGTTTGGAGGGTAGAGGAGTGTCTATGAATGAAAGAGAAAAAGATTGGGATCTGATGGAAAAGAACCTAGAGTAGTGCCACTCTTGCCCCTTGCCTAGGCCGCGAAGTGCCAGTGGGCAAAACCTGGCATGACGTTGGGGACTGGCCGAAGAGCCGGATCTGGCGCAATACGAT